AAGTCACAGTAGCATACATTATTTTTCTTTTCATCCCTTCTTTGTCTCTCTCTCTCTCTCTCTCTCGCCTTTCGTCACGGCAGACAGGTGGTAAAGGCCGCGATGCCATGGCCGCACTGTGGAGCTGCAACTGTAGTAGCAGAGGGAAGAAGGGAGAAGTGGGACTTCCGTGCACTCCCAATCACAACAACAACGAACGACCACGCTCGCTGGTGTCAAATCTTGTATCCAATCTCGTATCCCTCGTGCACAGCCTGCAGCATGTCCTGCTCGCCGTGGTCCTCGTCCGTGTAATTATCGCAGCATGACCCCGCTCTGTAAATTCTGAAGTCCTTCATTTCCCCGCGTTCCTTTGCACCGTCCTTCATTAACTCGTAGATCCATGTGCCGACGGAAATATTAGGGAGCATGCCGTAGGCCCACACAATGGTGTCACACTCCACGAAGTACTTTCGGGAATCGGGAGCCAACAAGGAAACGTGCACAGCACTCTTATCGATGTTTTCCAACAACCCGTGCTTAATGATAGTGCCGCCGTGGTTACGGATCCATAACTTCTGCGTCCACCCCTTCCCACGCGAGAGGTCGGCGTCCTTGTCTGCCTTGTTGAAGAGAACAACGTCGCAGCTGTTGCGGGGGGCTCGCTCCGCCGCATTAGAGTCAAGTGTACCCTCGTCAAGGTTAATGCCCCACTCATCGCAGTAGGCCTCCACGCCTCGAGAAAGCCGCGGGTCATGCAGCAGGTACGATGCCACGTCATTAGAGATGGCGCCGTTGCCAACAATCACAACTCTGCGCCCGACCTTCATGCTGCCGTTGAGTATCTTCTCAAACGGCACCATTATAGGGCACTCGGAGGTGTCCAGGGATTTGGTGTGAGGTGAACGGGCGCGGCACACTTCCACAGCAAAGCACCAACGTGTGAAAAACACTGATGATTCCGCGCCATATCCTCCCGCGTAAACTCGGCTCCAAGACGAACATTGATCGACGACTGACGCAGTTGTCGGGTCCAGTACTCCAGCACCTCCTGGTAGGGCTCCTTCCCTGGTACCACCTTGGCCAGGTTCAGCTGACCGCCAATAAAGTTGGATTTCTCAAAGAGCGTCACATCGTGTCCACGGCGCCAGAGTGTCAGCGCACACGTGACACCAGTCGCACCTGCGCCAATGACTGCCACGCTCTTTTTGTACGGCGTTGGGCGCCAACGCCGCTCAAGTTCGTACCCACTAGTAGGATTAAGCGCACAGGTGATACGCTGATGCTTGTAGAGGCGATTCACACAGTGGTTGCAGGCAATACATGGAATGATAGCCTCCTCGTGACCCTCTTCTGCTTTTCGAGTCATTTGCGGGTCCGCCAACAGTGGCCGCGCCACCCCGACTAAATCGCACACACCCGCACGCAGGAGACACCCTGTTACTGCGATGGAATGCACACGGTGCGTGGCCACAACGGGAAGATTGAGACCACAAGAACGTAGGTGTTGCCGCACCTTCTGCACATATCTCGCAAAGGCTGCCTGTGGGACGTATGACGCCACTGTCTGCGCAGGCGAGTCATGCATACTGATACTCGTGTTCATTACATGCACCCCACCAAACCGCGCAAGCGCCTCCGCAGCCATCAACGTCTCTGTCATGGCTGTCTCCCCCACCCCACCCCACCCCCACCTTCAGATCATGCACGCAAAGCCTAACAGATACATGAAACTTTTCCGGTTCCACTAATGACTGCCGAACGGCGTCTAACACCCGCAGCGTCACCTCCAACCTGCCTTCAAGGGAACTGTTGTGGTTGTTCTTACGATCGTTCACGGTCTTTGAGGGAAAGTTATGCAACAGACCACTGTCGCTTACGGGGATTTCAATACCATCAAACCCAGCAGCCTCCGCCAGCCGCGCAAATCATGCGTGCTCTGAGACAATATATTCCACCAGAATCCCCGGCACACGCCATGGGCGGGCAGTTCTAAACGGCTGTACCGCAGATGGTACTGAGGTGGCGGAGACAAACCATCGACGCCGCGCGGCACGTCCAGAATGAAATGCCTGGGCAAGAATGGCGCCGCCTTCGAGGTGCACGGCGTGCATGACGAGCGAAAAAGCCTTTGCCGCGTCGTACATCCCGAGCGCCATACTGTCCATACGCCACTTTCCCAGCCGGGAAATACCTAGGCCGCCACGTACGATAAGTTTCACACCGTGTCGCGCACGCTCTGCGTAAAAAGTTCCCATAGCATCCATATGTTCATCACTCCATACAGTAAGCTCCTGTTCCATGTTCAGATACATGGGCAACATGAAAAATCGGTTAGGAAGCTCCAAGCACCTCTTTGCCCCGATGCATATGGGCGAAAAGAGAGGAGATACTCCCTCTGCCATTCGTTAATCGCATTTTTCTTTTTATTGTCGTCGTCGTTGTTGGCGGATGCCTTGAGGTAATATGTGCGTGTAGTTGTCTTTTTCCCTGTCGCCCGCGGTGGGGATCAACTTGAGGTGGCAAATTCAAAACCCCACGTCACACAGAATGTATTGATTTAAAAAAAAACAATACACACACACACACACACACACACAGAACAGAGGGGGAATGCAGAGCAGTGAAACAGAAGCACTGGAGGCATAACAGTGAAAACTGTAAAGAAACAAACAAACAAAAATGTGGAATATATATATATATATATGTATACAGCGAAACACATAAACATGAACCAACCAACCACGCGAGAAAAGCAATCGAGATGACGCACTCCAAGTAACGTGTAGGTAGGTGGTTAGCGCATGTGTGCTCTGCCCTTCAGTGATCAGAGAGCTCGGTAGGGAACGGCAACGCAGATATGGTCTGCACAACAACTTGTGATTCTCTTCCCAATGAAGTTGCCATGACGTTTGAATTGGGCCACGCATTCAGCGTATTTCTCAGTCGTTGCAAGCGTGCCGCACAAGTCATGTTCGCAGGGTTTACCTCAATAGGCTCCGGTACCATCGTTGAAAACGGCATGCTGGGCTGGGAATAAGGCACGCTAAGCGACTGAAGCTGTTCCATGGCATTTCCCGCATTACTTGAGTTTGCGCCCTGGTGGGCCTTTGGCGCTAATGCGTCTGTGGGAATACTTGGAATCACGAGCGCAGCCAGTTCTTCATCCGTGAGCTTAGGCAGCTGCGCGATAAGTTGGTCCGATATCAAGCCTGGAGGCTGCATCTCAGCGGGGGTTACACTCTTGGGCTCCAGACGATAGAGCGCCACATCCACGTGCGAGTCCCGCAGTAAACCTTTGGAGCGGACCAACACGTTGACGGTCGCCGAGGCCACGACCCCGATGACGCGTCGCCACCCGCACTGGCACGGAATCACCTTCTCTAGTCGCTGCTGCTGTCCCCGTTGCGGGACAATGTCGATTGTCACGCCAAGCTCAGGCGCCGCCACGCTGTAAGCATCTAAATTCTTCACAACAAAAAGGTATGAGCCATCGCTCAGCTTTTCCTCGCGAAGGAATGGCGCACTATGCTTGATGGAGAACTGGGCACCGCTAAGCACAAACAACGGGGACCCCAAGACAAACTCCCCGCTCATCAAGTTTTGATTCATTTGGTCAAGTGGGAGCAGAATGTTGTCCTCCTTCCTTCGCACCAGTTCGCAGCGGTCCATGTAGGCCCTCATTTTTCCCTCACACATCTCAATAAGTTTCTCCTCCTTTGGGTCATTCTTGCTCAAGGCGGTGCGACGCACGTAGTTGATAATCTCCACCCCGCGCAGGTAGTCCTGGTAGACGGTGCCGTACGCCTGAACGAGGCGAGAAAGCTCATGACGGTACTTGTTGCTCGAGCAAATACGGGCCTGGCTGCGGTCCACCTCGTACTCCCGGGCCTCTGTGCGGCGTAGGAGGTCGAGACCCTCTGCGAGAAGAAGCTTTTGCGTCATTCAATAAATCAAATTAATGCAAATGCCAAGAATTGCAATAATGCTAATAATGTGTATGGATGCAGTCACAGTATACTAGAGCGGAGGAAGTCCCTCACCTTTCCCGCCTTCTCTTTCCTCCCCCTTGTTCTATCACTCCTGTGTGTTTCAGAGGCCCTCCCTGGTATATCTAAACCCGGTTAAATCGTGCGTTAAGGGTACAGTGCACCTTTGATTGCGGGGTGATATCCGTATGCACATAGCCATAGGCCGCAATAAAAGAAGCAAGTGAGGACAAGAGGAGAAAAACAAGACGTCCAAGCCTGCCCCCCTTAAGCAACTTACAGGTATCAGCTAATTCACAAGAGGCAAACGTGTGAGGGACATGCAAGCACTCCGTAGCTTTATTGCCGTGTCCAGCTTTATAAATTACCCTCATTGTCTCCTTTCATGCCGCGCAAAAACACTCTAGAAAAACGTAGGTACATATACGCGTGCGATGTGATTAACATCCCCTCACCCATCCCACCCCTCCTCCGCTCCCTTTACCTTGCATTCTAACCTTGTCTTGCCAACACACACACACACACAGATTTAAATACCCAGCTCCGATGGCTTCCTTTATCCCTTCGATTGCCTGTATCCAATCCTTTGTGTCATGCACGACAATCGGAGCCGAGGAATTCACAGCAATTTGAAGCAACCCGTGACACGATCAACAAGTTTGACAGGTGCCGGGCCAACCGCCAAAACTGTTTTGCTCCCAGGCGCAATCTGCGTCCGCCCCGCGTCGCGTACCACGGTGTGTGGCAGCCCCACCTGTTTTGCCTCACGACACGCTTCCATCAGTTTCTCTTCGCTACTGCACTGCAGCACAATCTTTGTGCTGCCAGAAAACATCCAGGCGTCGTACCACTCAACCCACTCATCCCAATGGGTAGTAGTCTCATCCTCATCCAGACCCTCAGCAGCAACAGTTTTCGAAGTCGGTATGGCCGTGCCCTTCTGCTGACGGCGGCGTTCCACCTTCTCCGTCACCGCCACTGCCGCGTGGGCACACTGCGCCGCAATCTTCCCTGTGCCCATCCTCAAATCCTTCCGCACCACTAGCGTCATTTTTAGCGGCTCATTACGGTGAGCCAATAAGGCGCGCGCCTGCCGCCCCTTTACACGAAATAGACCCGAGGGCCAGCGGCTGCTGTACCCAACGCTACGCATGCACAGGAAGGTCAGAACGACACCGGTACTAAAGGAAACAAAAAAAGAAACCGCGTCAAGCATCAGTTCCATCCGTCACTACTGGCACTCCTTCACTTCGCCTCTCGCTGTGAGACCACAAAAGCAGCGCTACTCTTTACGTCCGGTGGGAGTGTCCTCGTCTCCTCTTTTTTGGCCCCTCGTCCCCTTCACACCTTTGGAGGCGGAGCAGCCAACACGCGGGGTAAAAAATTAGACGAGCAGCTGGTCGTCCACCCAGCCAACAACTCAGAGTCCGCCCCTCGTGTGCTATGCAACTAAGCGAGAAAGCGAAAAGAGCAAAAGAAGTAAAATGCTTCAAAAAAGAAAAGAAAAAAAAAAGGATAATCAGCATGCTCGAAAAGCCACTAATCCCCAACACCCACAAGTTCCCTTCGTTGTTGGTATCTTTTGGCGTAAACCCCCGCACATCATTGTTATTATGCAGTCAAATTAGTGACTTCTCGTGCCGGTGCCGTCCACAGATCCATGCTGACAGAGCCCACAGGAAGAGCACTACGATCAAAAAAAAAAATGCATTCACGGCGTCGCTCTCTCTCTCACGTTCCCCCTTCCCTTTTCTCTGTTTGTCTGCATTAATGACAGTCATAATAATTTGCGTGGCGGGAATCCGTATTGGTCACTCCCCCTTTTTTAGATTTTATAATTAAAACAAAGTTATTTCAAAAAGTGTAAGTGTAATTGCCTCCACCATTTCACACGTTCGTCCATTTATATGGTTGGCAATGTACTTTGGGTAACAAACAAGCATTGTTCATTTCATTACCACTAAAGCCACCTCCTACTAGATCCCGTGTTTGCTGTACATATATTTCTGACGGCATTTACTGTTGTTGTTGTTGTTTGTTTGTTTGTTTGTTTTTTTGTTTGTTTGTTGTTGTTATCGTCATATTCGTTCTGTCACGTAAATGGGTGATCTCAGCGTTAGGGGTGTGGGTGTGTCATCCTCCTCACAACATTTCTCCGTGGCTTTGGTAAGTTGCAATGCAGCTTTTAAAAAAGTAAAACGCACAGAAAAAGACAAAAAAACAAAAAAAAACAAGAAAAAATGAGGGGGAAAAATCGATAAAAACACAACAAAATAAAAGAGAGAACACGCTCCCCCTTCACTCTTCACGACGGAAAAGCATAAGGAACAACGTCACATTGTCAGCACTGTGCAAACGGTGCACCACGTGGTCAGCCAAACTGTTTGCCACCGCCTGCAGCACACGCCGTGGTCCTACGCAACTGCGCGATGTGCCGCAAAAACCATCCTTTTCCCCCCACCGGCTAATGGCGCACTGCGGCGGCGGGGTGGAGTAACTTGACGGGGCATCGTCATCCTGCTTGCTCCGAACCCCCGCATCTGAGAAAACTCGTGCCGGCAGAAGAGGACTTTTCGACTCTGTGACTTCTGAAGCGCTGCCAAAGCAAGAGGGCGGTGGCGTGTGCTCCACGGTGCGCGGGAACTCCAAGAACCTACTTGAGCTGCTAATCGCGGTGGGGCAGCCTGCGGCTGTGGGCAAGAGCAGTTGCGGCTGTGAGAAGTTGCTCTCGCATAGGAGACCCGACTTGAGGAGGCGTGTGCGCACAAACTCAACGACCCCCTCCGTGTCCATGCAATCCCACACCCCATCCGAGGCGAGTACAAGAAACTCGTCTCCTTTCAATTCCACCTCATACACATCTGCCACATTGCTCACGACGTTATTTATTAAGAAATGGCCGGTCTCCACACAATCTTGCCCCACGTCACCATCTTTCAGCTGCAACGACGTTGTTTGTAAGCTCCTGGCAAATGAACCCAACGAAAATTGTGGTGAGTCTTCCGAAACACTACCAAATGTCCCGCCCCTACTTCCGCTGTTGCGGCTGCACGAAGCTGCGTTGCCTTGATGCAGAGGTGTCGTGGCATCTACAAGAGGTGGTGTTTTACCGTCCTGCCGAAAAATACGTGTACCACAGAAACCCGGCTGCGCTAACCATTGTTCTGGAGGTAGCTTGTAGACAAAATCCCCCAGCGACCGTGTCACCTCCAGTGCGCCATCAACGCGATCCCACTCAATGCTGCCACCGCATCGCTCCACACGCGCCTTCTCGGAAGGATAAGTCGAGACACGGTGATCGTGTGTGCTTACAAGCACGCAACCATCCGATACGCGGGCCAGCACGGCGCGGCTGTCACCAAGGTTCGCAAGGGAAAGGTAACACGGGACAGGACCATCAGGTGACTTTGGTGTACCGTGATAAAACGCAGCAATACCCGCAGTGGTGCCTGAGCGACCTCGTTGATTAGGTGGTGTTGTATCATACAACGTCCGGTCAAGGTGAACGAGTGATTGCACCAGTGCATTGCTGAGGAAGCGCTGTGGGGGTATATCACTCCCAGGTGAGGCCATCTTTGGATGCGCATCAGTGTCACCACCTACAGCAGTACGACTAACTCTTGTAGTTGTTGTTGCCACTTCACACAAGCTAAGTGTCGGTGGTGCCCTGTGGAGGGCCTCGTTAACGTGCTCGAGGTAGTAGAGAGAGGCCAAGTTGGAAAGGCGGTCCCCATTGTGCCCGTCAAATACGCCGTAGAGGGAGTAAGTCGATGAATAATACGATTGTAGCCCTTCACGTGCGACGCAGTCCGACGGAAAATTCACCCGCTCATGAATACAGACTGCATCCTCCTGTGAATTTCGGTGCCCATTCAACATTGTGTGTGCTACGTCCACGACAAGTCTCTTTGGCCACTGCATGCTCCGTGTCAGACTCAGCGAGCGTGGACCACCTGCGGCGGTGGTGGTGGGGGCAGCAGCAGCAGCATCGGAGGTGGGCAGCAGAAGCGGAAGTTGTATGCCGCCATCACCGAAGGAGCTCGAAAAGGAAGGCCGGCTCCGCGATGGTGTGCCCACAGCCACGCGTGAAATCGTGGCCGCAGATGACAGTGGCATACAGCTTCGCATGCACGAACTCTCCGTCTTTCTGCGGAGCATGGCGTCTTCCGTCGTTGTTTCCTTGTCCGTGATGCAGCCAGCAGTCATCCCGTTGTCAAAGCTGCGTTGAAAGGACAACGACACAGTCTCACTCGGGTAGCGTTTAAACGAAGAGGTGTTGGTGCCAACAGTATGACTACTCGTGAGCACGTCAAAGGCCAGTTGTGGGGGCTGCGGAGAAAGCGGTGTCTTGTAGCTTAGCAAGTCCTCAAGAGAGCTGCTACTGGTCCCAAAACGTTTCAGCGGTGAACTTCGACTGTCGCGTGGCACACTGACAGTCGGCAAATGGATAGGACTGAATGAAACTTTTGGTAAAGAAACGCAATCGTTCAAGCAGACAAGACCGTTTTGCAGCCAAGACGAATCTCCCTCCTCTTCTTGTGCTTGCGCCTGCACTGGTTGTTGCATTTTTAGTGGTGAGACTGTCCCTCGCTGCCGAAGAAACAAAGTGTCTGAATGCAATGTGGTACGAGTTGATAGCTGATCACTCTGCATTGGTGAGTAACGAATGCACTCCGGCGAGACCTGCCCCTTCAGTTTTTTTTTTCTTCTATTTATCAGTGCCTGTGTCCGTGTTGTTGCCCTCGCCAGGGTGCCTTCTGCTTGTTTGCTTCCTTCGGTCGCTGTGTGGTGGATGGATGTTGCCCCCGCCCGCTTTGGCACTGCCGCCCCAATCCACTAATCGCACCGCACCAGACGGAAGGATGCAGCCCCCGCAAAATAATAATAATAATAATAATAACACGCACAAAACGTGACTCTTGTGAGCTGCCTTTCTTTAAGTTGCCTTTTGCTTGTTGTTTCTGCGTGTTGGTTTCCTTAACCTGCTCCAAGGGTGCGCGCGCCACAGAGAACAAAGAGCGGAAGACAAAAAAAAAAAAAGAGGGGGGGAGGGGGGTCAGAGGCACGACAAAAGGCGTTTTACCAGCAAACTCCCTCCACAGCGGCCTTCTCGCACCCGTCATTTGTTCAGCCACCGCAGTTTCCTCTTCCGTTCCGGCGGGGACAAAACGGACCACTTAGCACCCCACCCCTCCCTTGCTTTTACCTTGTGTCTTCTTCAGGGCGCCGTGCGAGTCGCAAGTTTAGTCTCCTTGCTGTCTCTGCATTAACGGCAGAAGCAGCTCTTCCACTACAAAAGACAAAGCCTCCACGGAGTCCGTGGTCGCAAAGACACGTCCTGAGCGGTACAATATCGTCTCCACCTTCAGCTGCGGCTTTGCCACCAACGGACACGCCTCAGTTACCGCATCAGCAGCAGGAAGCGCTGTATGGAGAGCCTGCGCGGCGGTGGAAGATGTCACAAATGATGATGGTGGTGTCATGAGCGCGACCACGTCTTCTCCCACAGAAGATGCCAAAGACAACGCCTCCGGTGCCCTCGCTTCAGACTCACAGCGCGAACGTTTTTGCCTACTGCCCTCTTTCTCGCCTCCACTCCTGCTCATGTCGTGATCCGAGACTTTTTCCGGGTTGTGCCCCACCGCCACAAAGACGCTTCCCAACGGCATAACAGACATAAGTTCGCTTCCAAGGAAGAACGCGTCCGCGTCACGGTCATCAAGGCTTCTGCCGACAGCCGGGCCCAACTCACGCCTCAACTGCGGTGGAGGAAGCTGCCTGAAGTGGCACACAATGCGAAGTGTGTGCCGGTGGCGCAGAGCTGTCACAGAGCTTTCTTTAAGGCAATGCCACCACTGCATTACGTGTGGCCCGTCACCATCTCCGCCGCGCGTGGCGGCAGCGGTGGAATATGCTATGCGCTCACGCAGCCATGCTGCTGCGCCCTCCGATGTGTCCACACCTGTTCCATTCGGCAGTGACGGGGCGGGAGAGAGAAAGACCTGAAGCAACGCAATGCTCTTCGTGCCAGTTCGCCTTGGAAGCGGTGCAAGGCGCCGAAGGACGTAGGTGTGCACAAAATCCGCAATCGCCAAAGCTGCCTCAATGGAGCCGCTGGACGCAACACGCACCACGCCGCTTGCAAGAACAGAGGCTACCACACCGCTGCAGACGGTGTCATTAACACGCAGCAGTGGGAAGCGCAGAAGACATCCAGTGGGCTCCGAGGCGGCGTTGCGTAGCAACTCGGCGTTCCATGCGCGGTGGAAAAAGTCTAGAAGATCAATGGGACCGTCACTAAGCTGAATGATAATAAACACAGCACCGATGCGGCCCTCCATGCACTTTTAAAATGTGTTAGGGCATTAAACGCATATATATATATATATATTGCATACGTCGATGTAGGTGGAGAGCAAAAAGCGAAGAGACAGAAGAATGACGCTTGAAGTGATAGGCTGCAGCAGCGCCAAACAACAAGTGTGACAATGGGCTAACGCAGTCACGCGTCTTTCCTCCTGTCATCCCCAGCAGCATCATCGTCACTGAAGGCTCGTCCTTCGTACGCAAGTAAAAGCCAAAACAAAGAACCTTTTTTTTCCTTTCAAAGGAAAAAATAAACCCAACCACACCCAACGTCTACTTTTGTTTTTACTTTTTTCCTTTGCAAAGACCTACTTCCTTTTCTGCCAACACCTGCGCACGCACAGCAGCGGCGAGAGTGGAGACGTACATGTTCAACGTGGGCATGTGCAAATCTGTGTATGAGAAAAGAAACAAAAAAAAACATTTCATACTACAGATCCAGCTCCCTGCGTAGCTCTTCGAGCTTCTTCATGTACTCCTGCTCTCTTGCCTCTTTGGCCGCCTCAATAGCCACGTTGATGCGGCTGCGCGTCAGGTGACGACGACGAACTTTGGCCAAACCAGCGTTATCGGAGGCGCTCCACTGAAACGTCCCTCGCGCCTCCTCCTCACGCTTGGGCCACCGCGTGGCGTACATCCACTCCCCCACGTGCCACGATTGCAGTTCCTTGCGAACGAGTTTACTCCCACCCACCCGCGATGAATGATCATCCGTCATTTCACTCGCCCAGCGCCAACCCACTGAGAACCGCCGTGCAGCATCCACCACCGTGGGGGACACCAGTGTCAGCGGAGTACGAATTGTGGCGGTGGAATTGAGCGATACGATGTCGATCACATCCCCGTTTTCGTCGTCGAACGGGAAGGTGGGGTGCGGCGCCCACCGCCTCAGTCCATTTTTGGACACCACCCGCTCCTGATTCTCGTACACCAGTACCGTTTCCACCTCATTAAACTTCTTTATGTCATCCTCAAAGGATGCCTTAAGGTCCGCCAGCTCAAAGCGGCAACGGTCATCCTCCTGCATGTCTAACAGCCGCTGCGGCACAGCAAGGCTGGAGAAGTACTCCGCGAAGTTGAAGATCCCGCCATTGTCATGCAGCTGCTGCCGCCGCCACTGGGCGTCACGAAACGCCCGCATAAAACCCGCAGAGTGGTCACCTCGCGTAAATTCGCTCAAAGTCACGCAATCACGAAGACTACCATAGCGCGTGTGTTGCGATGTAGAAACGCCAAGTGTGGTGTCGCGTGTTTTCTCTGCCTCTACAATCTCAAGACCCTCATGTATAAATTGCAGATAGAGATCATCATGTGCATCACTCCATTCATACACAATGGTGTTGCGCTCCAATGGCTCTTCCATTGTAGTGAGCCGTTTCAGCATACCCGCATACTCTGCACATACACCTCCCCTTTGCCAATATGTCTTCATCCCACTCCAGTGCTGGGTATTCAGCAGCTTGCGCCACTCTTCTTCAATGTAGGCTCTCCGCATATCATCCTCATTGCCTGAAGTTTGGTCATTCTCCTGCACCATCGACCTCGCATCATTGCGGCGTTTCTTCTTCCATGAGGTTGGGCTACCGTCGCCGCCGATGTGGACATTCATAACATTCCGTGAATTTGACAACATCCTCCCTCCTTCTTCCTCTCCACCCGTTGACGCCGGTGTCTCAAGTTGCTGCTGCTGCTGAGGCTGTGGCTGTGATGTTACTGCTTGAGGTGAAGGTGGTAATGGGGTTGGCGACAAAGGCGGGAGTGACTCCTCATCAGCCCCAACCTCCCCTGCAAGGACCCACATGGCAGACATCAACGGGCGTGCTATCTTTAGATCAAGCAACTGACTCGCACTGAGTGCAGCCTCCATCCATCCACTTGAAGCGACCGGTGACGTCTTCTGTAACTTTTGGATCGTTGCCATCTCCGTAGACTTCGCTGTGGCGTCACCAGGCGCCACGGTTCTTACAAACGGCAAGTAAATAGAGTGGATATCGTCACATCCTCCCATGAAAAAGAGCAACTCATTGCTATGCGGCACAAACAGCAGTATACGTGTGGGGGGGATGACAGTGTCTTGGTTTGAATTGGTCTTCACCCCAAGAGTCCCTGGCGCCGTCAGCATCATGAGCACTGTGTAGTCATGATTAGGGTCCATGAACATCTGCGAGAAAGATGTACGCGGCAGCGGCACCGTGTCTGCGATGGTGGACCCCAGCAGCTTCGGTTGTGGCTTCGTTTGAGACGGTGCCACCTCTTTCGCTTCCTCCACGTCGCTCAGCCACGTCTCTAGTGAGTCTCGCCCATCCACCACAGGCACAGAAGCGGACGGGTCGTGCTGATGTAAAGGCGCGCTGCGGCCCACTGGTCGTGGCTCTTTCCCCAGCAAGAGAATGACATCATCATCAGTGAGGGCAGCAATGCAGAACCACGAGGTGTTGACGTCCTGCACTAGAATCTGTCGACCAAGCGGTACCACACGCAGGAAATGCTCATTCACCGTTCGTGCCCCCTTCCCACTCCCGCCCTTGTCATGGTACACGCGGTGCAGATGCAGAAGGCTTCCTGTACAACCGCTCAAACTCCAAAAACGAAGCCGCGGACGGCCAATCGTGAAGCTCGGCGGTAGCTCCTCACAAAACGGAATGCGCAACATTGCAACACCAATATCGCATACATCTTCTGGTGCCCCTTCTCGCAGAATAGGGGTCTCGCTAAGCACAACTGCTCGTGGCGAATAAAGCCACCAACGGAAGCGAAGATGCGAAACATGCATTTCCGCCTGTCCCTCCACACCATGAGCGTGTGAAGAAATGTACAGGCTCATGACAAAAGTCCCAGGCACGGCGGATACATTGCAACAATGCTTGCAATACACCTGGCAAGGGCCAAGCAAAGCGATATTTGTGGCCAGGCCGGCATCGAGACGGTATGCTCGCAGTGAGAAAGCGCTAAAAGTTTCCCCACCAGCGCCACCACTATAGGTGCTTCTTGAGGTCTGCAATGTTAATGCAGTGTTGCATTTATTGGGGCAAGGCAGTGGAACATCGTGGTGGCCCGCACCACTGCACGTGTCACCACCATCGGTGCCGTTGATACTGTTATCGTTTCCTTTATTATCACTACTACTGATATTATTATTATTGTTGGCGTTTTCCTTGCAAGGGATGGCCTCCGGTGATTCGTTGTCCTCTGGCATGTTAGCTGTGAGTGCTTCGCTGGCGGGTGTGGCCCCAACCGTAGGGGTCGTCGTGGGCACAGTCAGCTTCACCGCACGATCCTTCTCGATGTCAAAGATTACCACCTCGCCCACTTCGTCCACGCTCACCACAAGTGGCTGGTAACGTCTGCTGCCCGAGTTCGGTCCCACCGCGACAAGGGCAAAATGGAGCGCCACCACCCGGTTCTTTGCGTGTAACTCGTGATGCAGCAGAAAATGAGCGGCAGTGCTTAGCACACAAACGCTGAAGCGTGTACGATCGCTACCAGATGCAACAGCCAGGTATCGATTCCATCTCAGCGGGAGGACGCGTTCTCGGCTAAATGCCGACTCTGCACCGACACAAAGATACGCATCCCGCAGCTGGAAGCTGTCACGACTCTCAACAACGTCCCATATCCCAGTCCGCACGTCGGTAGCACAATTATCACCGCTGTTAGTATTACGGCTGCCAGTATTTTTGTCGCCGTCAAGTCTGCCACCATCGCCGCGTCTGCTGTCCGCCACGTCCAAGGCGGTGAGGTAACGCTGACGGTATATGCGTATACCGTTGCGATGCGCCGTCACGAGCATCCCCCCCGCAATACACACGGACCGCACGCGACGGTTTGGAAAGGGGTCAAGCAAAATCGTCGTCGGGCGCCGCAGGTTCGGAAACATAGGGACATGATCTGCATAGTTCTTCCGAGTAGCCGGACGGCGCTTGCTCTCCCGCTCAGAAGACATGCCTCGGCGAGACCGCCGCGAACCCGACCGTCGACCGCTGGATGACGCCGACAAGGAACGGGACGAGGACTTACCCCTGACGCTTTCGCTGCTGGTCGTGGACTCTGTGTCTGTGTCTTGTGGCGGTGGGACAGAAAAGGGCGATTCCGATTGCATTGTTCATCACAGCCTTGTTACAACACGCCGGAGAAGTCTACAAGAAGACAATCGCAACACCCAAAACACGCTCCTTGTCCTTCCACCCCCACCCACCCCCCAGTAAACGGTTTCCCCACGCACACAGAGTATCGCCGTAAAATGTGCGTCTGTAAAATAAAGTGGCAACTGTAAACTTTGTTATTTCCTTCACCCTCTTGGAGATATAGTTATGGGCACACTCTATGCAGGTGCGTGCATGCATGCATGCAATCGTCGGAGAAAAGACGGAGAGAAAATGGTGTGCTTGCCCTTATCGTGTATCGTTCGCACGTGTTGAGAGGTGAGGAGTGGAGAGGCGTCCAGAGTCTCTTCTTGTGCCACCCGCAGAGATCTCCGCCCCCACCCCGCACAATCCCCGCACCTCATGTGCAGGACAGAGCTAAGAATACTGAACCCCCAGAAGTCAAAGATACACAAGAACACCAAAAATACTTTACACATAGAAAAACCATAAATAAATAACAAAAAAAAACGGTGAAGAAATAAAAACAAAGTAACAAATCCATTCATGCGTTTCATGTTACTGCTGCGCCCCTGTTTTGTTTTGTTTTTTCCCCCTTCCAGCTGGTTCACTGTGACGCTCACCACTCGACCGTCATGGTCTGCGCCGCCTACGAGGCCTGTTTTGCGGGAGCTCTATATGGAAGAAGGGCAGCAACATCGGCGTAGCGAGAGTGGGCAAGGATGGCGTCAAACTTGCGAAGAATCCCATCAGCATCGTCATCGCCGGTGTCAACCTCATCCCTCTTCCCACGAGGCCGGGACTGCCCAGCCGTAGGAAGGGCAACAGTGGTGGCCAGCGGAAGCGGAGCCGGAGTCCCGCCAAGGGCAACCGCCCTGTCCGTCGCCGCCAGTGTGGATTGGGAGGGCGAGGGCGGGTGTGTGGCGCCGTGCGACCCCCTCGCCAACAGTTCGTCACTCTGCAGCGGCAGTGGTGGGGGTGGCACATCCCCACCCACACTACCTGGCTGCAAGAAAACGCCGCCACCGCGCTTCGCTAACTTCCCCGAGTAACGCTGCTTCAGCTGCTGGATTAGGCTCATTTCCCCTGCCTTCCCGCCTCTCACTCCCTTTTCCACCTTGTGTCTCAGCACAATGGACTCTAATTCCACAATACGTGTCGGGTCATATTTCAGCAACAAATGGTGTACGCACTGTCGCAGTGCGATATCATCCTTCGTCAAGTATGTGGCGTACAACTGTTTAGCCTCGTCAGGTTTTGGTTCTGGCCCCAGCACGGCGCTGTAGTACCGCAGCGCACGCTCGCCGTCATTATTGTAGTCTTGTAGGATGTCATCAACATCCTTCAACCGAAGCGGGGCGTGCGTGCCAAATACCGCAAGCAGTCTCTGGCGCGGTGTCAACTGCGGCTCCGCGGGCACATCCCCTTTGGGAAAAGAACAACAGCAGCAGTTACCCATGCCCACTTGCGCACCACCACGTATTTGTGCGCAACACTGCTATTCTACGCACCCACTTCCCTCCACTTGTCCCTTGGAGCCTCTTCCCGCGCAAGTCGGTTAAGGACGAGCCACAGCAAAATCATGGAAAAAGCAAAAAAAAAAAAAGAGCAATGGCATGCGTAGAACGCAGAAAGTGAGGGCAGGAACGTGCACCCATTCAAGAGGTATTAAAAAAAAAAAGAGGCACTCGCAGCACCATGACGTCTAGCGATGCACGGTCGGCGAGAATGCATACATGTCCTCGGCACGGTCACAATCACTGGGGCAGCAGTAGTTTGCCTGCTGGCTTTTTATTTTCCGCCGCTGCCTCGCGGGGGGGGAGCGGAAAAAGACGGGATGGAATTGCGTAACACAAAAACAAAATCCAAAACTCAAAAACAAAAAGGAAAGACAGAAATAAAACAAGTACACAAACGCATGCACGCCTCACCCCACACGTGCAGCTCGCTTCTTCAAGAAACGCATATGCGCCCAAGTACGCAAATATGCGCAACATGTGTGATTTCTCACCCGCACGTAGTCTCTTTCTCTCTCTCTCTCTCTTTCCACCCCGTTTTTTTTTTTTTTTAGCAGAAGGAAAAAAAGGAGGAAAAGATATAAAACAATGCTCATTTCCTGCCTAGCACATGGCGGCTGATCACAAGCCACTAAATTTGACTCGTTTCCTCGTAAATGGAGATGATCTTTGCGTCCCTGTACAACTTCTCCACGGGGTACCCCGTGTTGAAGCCGTTTTCACCGAATATCCGCACCGCGTTCGCAACACACTTCTCGCAGTAATCAGAAGCAAGCATCTTTGCGGATGACGCATAGAAGGTGTTTCCGCTACCCTGGTCAACCTCCCAGGCGGCGCGGTAGACCAACAAGCGTATCGCCTCTAGCCCGGCTGCCATGTCTGCCAGCATAAACGCAACGGATTGATGCTCTGAAACATGTTTTCCCATCAATTTGTATTGATTCGAATAATCCTGGGCCTCCTCCATCGCACGCCGACCAACACCCACCGCACTGATTGACACCAGTGGACGGGTAAAGTCAAATGCACGCATGGCAATCTTAAGGCCGTCGCCAGGCCTCCCAAGCAAGTTCGCTGCAGGAATAACAACATCCTCAAATAAAATCGCACGTGTGTCACAGCAGCGTTGGCCCATGTTAGTCTCCTTTTTCCCAGGTGTGATTCCCGGGCTGTTCGCATCCAACACAAAGCCAACAAAGCCTTCATCCGAGTTGGCGAGCAAAAAATACCAGTTCGCCACGCCACCGTTGGTAATCCACATTTTTTGCCCATTGACCACATAGGCATCGCCCTTCTTCCTGGCAAAGGTCTTGATTCCCGCTGCATCGGGGCCTGTCACTGGTTCTTTGACGCAACAGGCCGCTTTCAACGGCTCTTCTAACATGCGCCCAAGGAAGCTTTTCTTTTGAGCGTCGTTACCAGCAATAATAAGAGGCGCCTCGGCGAGGCTGTTTGACTCGAATGTGGTGGAAACGCCGGAGCAGCCCCATGCAAGCTCCTCCTGTACTAAAACGCCCTCCACACAGGAGGCGCCAAGCCCACCGTACCCCCGGGGAATATGCATGTTTACAAGCCCAAGTCCCCAGGCCTCCTTGAAGAGTTCATTAGGGAATTCCATAGCCCGATCCAGATCGGCAGCGGCTGGAGCTATTTTCTCCTTTGCAAAGCGTCGAGCGAGGTCCCGCACTTCCGTTTGCTGCTCGGAAAGCTCAAAGCAGATGCCAAAGCCAGAGGCATTCGCAGTCGAAAGACACTGCGCAGTACGCCGCATAAGCGTGTGAGACACGCGACAAAACATGACCTCTTCTTGTTTATTCGTTGGGCTCACAAAGTTGCTTATCCTTTTTTGTTCTGACGTAACTGCCGCGACAGACCGTACAGCCCTGTGTTGCGACGTGTGCGGAGGGTGAGAGTGATGAGCAAGCAACGAGGTAAAGACGGTGGGCAGAGAACAAGGAACAAATCAGTACAACAAACAAAACGCAGGAAACCTCTTCATTGTATGGTATGCGTACAGACAAGCACGAGGCAAAAACGTGCGGAAACGCAAATGGAGTGAAAGTGAGCAAAAATAAAAATAAAACAGAACATATTTTGCTTGTCAGCGTTGTTTTCTGCGCATTGTGCACGTGCATTGACACACTTTTCTTCTTTTCCCCTCACTCTCTTTGGTTTATGGTATTGCATTCCCCCCTCATAGAGAATCCCCTGGGCATCCATGTGTTTTTCATGCTGCTTACGAGGCCAAGTAGTACTCGTCACCTATGGTCCACAGCTGAATCGCCCGCACAGACGTTTCCGGTTCACCACCTTCCAAACTCACCTTATGTGGGCAATCCGCACCAGCAGTGGCATGACAACCACCGTTTAGATTTTCACTAAGCAGCAGCAGTGACTCCTTGAGGTCAAACGTCGGGCAAAAAGTGCTGCAGGACACACTCGTTAAGTCCTCGTGAAGAAAAATTGCGGGGCCCTTACCACCGCCACCAACAGCGATGGTGCCATTGTCGTAACGCATAAAGTAGTGATTCGCGACATTTTCAGGGGGTTTGAAAATGCGCAAAGCACCGCCTGATGAGGCCAAGGCAGAGGAGGCCGGCACGCAGAAAAGAAAGCTTTCTTCGGTTCCAACATATCGCTTGTTTGAAGCCTGCGGGATGCAAGAAATGTAAGCTCCCAGTAATATACTCCCATCACTCCCTGCAGAAATTATTAAGATCGCGGGCCGTTCTTTGCCCCGTGCACTTTTAAGCTCCTCAGCGCAACTGTTCTGCAGCGCTAAACGAGAAAAGCCGTGAAGGCCGCTGCAAAATAAAAGACGCCAGCATCTGCTTTGAAACCGCGCGGGTATGTGCCGCTGCAGCGTGAGAAACTGCGTACTCGTGATAAGGATGCTTGGCGTCATGGCTGTGTCACGCTTCAGGTAGACATCCGGAGGCACCTCCTCCAGTACCGCACTCACGTCAAACTGGGGCGTTGGAGGCTCTTGAGGCCCCTCCGCACCCCGCGCATCAGTATAATGCGAAAACGAGAGAAGCCGTGTGTACGCGTTGCCCATTGAATAAAATTCTACTCCAAACAAGGCCCCCTACCAGCACAGTCGTGGCTAACTACGCCGACGTATACCTTTCTTTTTCCTTCTTATCAATCCCTTTCAGTACCTACTATGCAGGCACACATGCATATACAATCTATTCAGAGAGCAGAGAACCAAAACCAAATAATAATAGTGGCAGCACTCATCAGTTGTAATAATAGCAGCGAAGGCAAAAAAGCAACGTGTGTGCGTGAGAGAGAGAGAGAGAAAAGAAAAAAAAAAAAGAGAAACGCGGAGACGGAGATGGTCCACCATCAGAGCAACCATCACAGACATATGCATGGGTGTATGCGTGCACGCACGGCGACACATGCAGATTGTTGTTAAGATGTTTAGCACGTCTCGCAAGCCTCAAGGCATCACAATATTAGTCCTGTATAAAATAAATGGAGAGTACGGAGGCGGGGATGAGAAAATAATAATAAAAAAGGGAGGTGAGTGATCACAAAAGTAACGCTCCAATAAAAACCGTTTTTTTCTTTTTTGTTGTTGTTGTTGTTTTTGGACCAGGCCACGTAAAAGGGGCACAACACAGCAGGAAGAGGAGGAGACAACAACGACTAAGAGAAGGTACTGCACAGATACATGCCACTTCAAAACGACCGCAATGTTGCATCACTCAAATCAATCACGCACACATGCCTCTTGTGTGTAAATTACTCTACTTTTACTGTCCCTTCCTTTTCGCCTTCACCCTCACTTACTCTTTCCCCCTTAGTGTCCTCCTTCGCATCATTATCTGCCGATATCGCCTCTAATACCGCTGGTGGTGGCGGTGCAGTGGGGCAGAAATGGATATGAAACGTTACGCGATCCGGGGGAAAGTGACACTTAAATTTTAGTTTCTTGCCCTCTGTGAACACTACCGGCGTAGGAAGTGGGCCGTTAGCAGCGTCCAGTAGCTGAAGTGCCTGACCCCACTGCATGTCGCGTGGGAAGTTGTTAAGCGTGTCAGCCGGGTCTGTCGACATGACGAGGTCACCATCAAACACCTTCCAGTAGAACAGCATTGCGTGTGCCGTCCCGCTGCTGGTTGCCTTGACGCCGAGATCCATTTTTTTGGGGATATCACGGCGGGCTGCCGTCGCAAAGTCCACGGAGAAAAGGGCAATCGGTTCACTCAGACGACGAAAAGGGATGCTGCTCATGCGAAAGCCGTATTGTTTCGCAAACACGATGCTGACGGTGTCCTGAAGTGCCGTCATGTGGCTCAAGTCCAGTCCCTTCCAACCCGACACGGCACACACATCGCCTAATGTGCTGCATTCGATCGGAACTGCGTACTGTGTTCCGTGTTGTGGAATAATTTTTGTCGTCGGCTTCGCCAGCCGCTCCCGTGCATCAGCAATGTAGTCGAGGGCCGACTCCCCTAGCAGCAATGTGCCAAAAATTTCTGATACCAGAACATCAGGCCGGTCCGGCAGATGGCGTAGCGTAAGCTCTGTACTCAGCATGTGCAAAATGGTCACTTTTTTCTCCAGCTTGTTCGCACGAACGTTGGCGCGTGCCAAGCTTGCCATCTCCGCGCTCCCCTCCACGGCCACAACCCACTTGGCCCCGAGCTGTGCGGCCATCAGCGACAACAGCCCCGAGCCCGCGCCAATCTCCAATACACCTGTTTCAGGTGTCACGTGACGTTTTAAGAGTTCATAGTAGAATTCATTGCGGGGTTTGTCGTTCATCATGGCATAGTGGAAGTCGTTCACCGCCTCCACAAGTGACGTCGGCGCGCGTCGCAGACGTTCTGGTACGGGAACACTTTGATGAAAGCGATACACAAAGGCATCCAAGCCGCACCCAGGTGGTGTGTGGGCAGTGGCAGGGGCAGTGCCAGGGGGAAGGAACCCAATATCCTGCCGCGGTGCAGTCCCCTTTCGTGCAGTGGGCGGAGGCTTGTGGCCATTCGAAATGTTTTTCCGCTGTTTAGCAGGCATTTTTTATGTCCGTGGTATTAAAGCAAAACAAAAAAAAGCAAAAGCAAAAAAAGCAAAAGCAAGAACGCCTAAATGTGATCCGCTTCGTGTACAACTTCGTTTGCGTGTTACGCAAATTCTTCTTCTTACTTCGATCCTTCCCGAGCTCAGTAACTCTCGCTTGTAATGGTTGCCTCTGCTGTGCTTGCTGAACGCGGCAGTGTTAATTGCGATTACCTTATTAAATATATATATATATATATATATATATATATCTTTACGTGCTTCGATGGGCTTCAGTCTCCGCCCTCGTGTCTACGGCCGTTCACCTCACGCACCGCTTTCCCTCAGAGGCTCCTGCGGCCAGGAAGTCACCCTTCGTTAACGTAAAAAAAAAGGAGAAAGTGGGGGAAAAAAGTGGGGTTTCAGGAGACAAAC